TGATCTCTTCAATTAAAAAACTGCGTTTAAAACATCCGACTTCAAAAACGAAAAGTAAAAACTAAAAAGGAAAAAAAGAACTATTTTTGGTCATACGTACTTATAGCTTACACGCCCACTGATAGTTTAGAAGTCGGTGCCACAAACCCATAACCTAACTAATATATACGGTCGAATTGAGAACCTCCTCCTTTTTTGAAGTCGGTTAAAAAGACTAAGGTAAATCAACATATAAATTGATTGGCATCCAATACCCCATAAGCCTTACTAACTCACATCAGGAACTAAATAATTGAACAGTTCTCTACAGCTTGAACAAATAAATGTTACATTAATCAACGATTTCCTCATATTTTTGACGTTCCAAAACAGTTGAACGTCAACTCAATCACCGTGTTGTGTTTTTGCTTCTGATACCCGTATGCCAGTTTATCAAAGTAGTATTCTAATTCGGTCATTTTCGTTTATAGATTTCGACTCTATTATAGAAAGGTAAAAAGTTGAAAATTGGCTGAGTAAAGACAGGCTGGAAAAGCTCCGGGTATTTTAAATCTAATGTGAGATTTGGTCATAGAGTGATGTGAAATTGTTTATTTTGCCTGACTACTAGGACTGTAGTTTAATTCTATTGTGATATAATGATATCTATGTGATAGCTTAGTAATTAAAATCAGGAAACATCTATCTATATGTATGTGTGTAAATAAAAACATTATCAGCAGTCCATGACAGACCATTGCTAAAAATGACCTCCCTAAAAATGATTTTGTTATGAGACTCATACTCGACATGCAGCTTTCAAGACAATGCTGTAAGATATAAAGCCATACCACGTGTTCCGCGCGAGCCTCAAAGAGCCATCAGACTACCACGGATGGCCCAATAAGGCATGATGCCGCAGAGAACATAAATGGTTACCGGGGCTCCGACTCGTAGCTCAGGAGCAGGAACGGGGCGGATTTTTAGTCAGTTAGAGTCTGGCACTCCCTCTCGCCTCACCTCGTTTAAAAAAAATACGATGGTATCCGTATGGTGCATTTTCGCAATCAATTTTTCAGATCCGGTTTTAACCAGATACAAAAATGTATCCAACACTTTTACTAAGACTTCGATATTTGTGTTAGATAACATATACCAATGAGTACATGCCTCGACGTATGTATGCACTATGTACGTCAGCAAAACGATTTCTACTAAAATCGTATGATTCGTCTAGTGACTAGTGACTGAAGGGTAATGATAAGAATAACGTCAAGCAGTCTATTAGTAATTTCCTTTTTCCTTTGTAGTCATAATATTGTACATACACATATGTACGAATGACCGATAATGGAATTATGCTCCGATTAACTCATGCTAGTGGCTTGCATTGTTATTGTCACAATTTTTCGCTTACTTTCTGTCTCTTCCTAATTCAAATTTCTCAAGAGATTTCAGACGACTCTTCTTAATTGCTAAACGATTGCGGCACAGATCACAGAACAATTTATAATAAGTTGTTACAAAGTTCAAATAGAAATCAATGTAATAGAACTGAGAACAAGGGTGTGGCCGCACACAATTTTAAAAAGAAAAAAGATCAATCTGCTCAACCAAGCATTGTTTAAAAACCCAAACAAAAAAAAACAAGAAATTCCAATCGTACAAAAATACTTTCATGTAAACTATTCTTGCAGTAAAAGATTGCAATATTCCACTGGCGGATAATAGGACCACTTTTAGCTCACCACTAGCCAATAAAACGCAATTTTTCTTGCAACGTTGCGCGGGCGCCGGCACGTGTGCAACTAACCTATAAATTACAAACAAGGTCAAGTTTAGCGTGTTTTGTCTACATTTTAAAAGAAAAGCACCTGCCTTCTCTTTCTTGTTGTTATAAGAATATTATAGAATGTATTAAAATAAAGGTACACGGGAATTAGAGCTCGCGACCTGGGTACCTCTTCGTCCATCAGTTCCGTCCATGCGACATGGATGAGTGCTGAAATAAAGTATCCCCAATATACCCAATCCCTAAATCTCCAACAATCCTCAAATTCCTTAACCTCAAAAGGCCAGTAACGCACTTGTAACGCCTCTGGTGTTTCATGTGTCCATGGGCGACGGCTGGCGCCGATTGCTTAAAAAAGTGTTCAATATTTCATTAGCAGGGTAGGTACTTAGATAGACTTCCTAGTCATCATCCAAATCATCAAACCTCGCAATAGGGATCGTAGACAGCATCATCGCTTACGCACTAGGCGAGATAGTGGTCAAACGTTGGCTCATCAAAAATTAGGGATTATTAAAAAATAGGGACCAACGAGACGGTTGTCGGCTGATGAATCGTTTCACAACAACAGCCCCTTCGAGAGCTGAAACCTATTCAAATTACACAACGTAATTCTAGAATATTGCAATTAACATAACATAAAAGCCGTGAAATGACAGGAATTTGTAGGAAGGCGCACATTACGGCACTTAATGCTACTGTACAATGTAACACCCACTTTTCGCAACTTATATTATGAGTCCCATGTAATAGGGGGGAGAGCCTGTTGCCGTATACCGGACACGATTCCAGACTCCGTGCTACTACTGAGATTTTTTTAAGCCCAGTAATATTTTGCATTACCCGGGAATCTAGAATATTCTACTTGTGAAACCAAAACAATAACAAGGGTGTCCTTGAACTTAAACAATTCATGATAGGGTGTCACGTGACCTATATCAGTTGTATAGGGCACAGAACATTTAAAGTAGGTTAGAAAGGAAATAGTTCCTGATTTGTATCAGAACGCGTGTCGCCGTTTGCCCCCCACTCTTCGACTTTACTACAAGCAAGAGACCAATACCTACGCGGATAATGCACACAAATAAACAACACGCACTAGGTCGAAAGGTTTGCTATTGGTTGTCACACTGACGCAATCACTTCGTTTGACATACACGTATGTACGCCTTAAAACTCACGTATACTAGGGGGACCAAAAGGTCGATCATTGATATCGATAAAGTATTATCATCTAGCTTCTTTACAAGTATTGCTATGTGAACTTCTGTAATCACGTATTTATGCGAATATAGAAATAAATAAAAATACATAACTGTGTTTTAACAAATTTCCATATGTTTGTTTAAGATTTTCTAAAATTACATTTTTACATAATACTTAAAAAAAAACTCAAACTCAAAAGTCAAAAGCATTTATTTCAATTAAACCATAATTTGGTACTTTTGAAACGTCAACAAATATGAAATAAATAATAGTCTGTCAGTCTGTCCTTCAGTGAAGCTAGGCGCTCGTTCCAAAATGTCGATTCGAGTGGAGAAGAACTAGCAAGAAACTCCATCCTCCTCTTTATAAGAAAAGAGTAATCTTTAAAAAAAGTCTGTTTTACATTGCTCTGATACATATTCCAATATTGTACACACATGTGAGAATAATGTAAAGACATACCTGACACCACGGAATATAGAATACAATATTCCGTGCCTGACACATCATACAAATAACAGAACGTACTAAAATAAAAAACAAAACCAAGAGAAAACAAATATCTTAAGTCTATTGATACTGACAATCCATATAAAATAGTGCTTCTATACAAGAAAAAAATAAATAAATAAACTCTTGTTTAAATATAATGACTTTGTTATTATGTAGTTATCATCATCGAAATGTTGCGAACAAATTGTACTACATTTACCTCTAGTAGGGATCCAATCAATTTTTCCTGTTGCCTCAATCCACAGTTTTCTTATAATTATTTGGATCTGTAGGAAACCTAAAAAAATAAATTATACGTAACTCAGTTTTAATTTAAAAAAATTACATGAAACTTAAATACGAAAACAACAATCCCTCACTTGAAACCAACAATCCCTCACTTGAAACCTAAGTATATAATATTATTTTTTACGACCAAGTATTAAAAAGACAAAAAATTTTGTTTGGAAGATGAAGTCAATTGAAATATTCTGAAATATTCTGCGTATTGCTCGGAAATTCTTTTATTGGAGACTCTGACCTGCGATAGCTTAGATTTTTACCGCTACTGGCGGCTTTATACATTTTTAAATATTTATAATAAATTGTTCACATTATAATTATAAAAAAATATTTAATTGAATTAAACAAGTATGGGAAATATTATTTCAGTTATTATTCTATTTGAACATAATATTTTGTATCCTAGCAATTATCGACATTGTTTACAAATTGACACCTCTCTATCGATTCGAGGAAATAAGGCATTGAATTTGGTAATCGGGACTCTCGCTGTCAACGTAATACATTGCGCGATTGCTCACGTAGTGCAAAAAAGTATACAACTATTGCAAGCAATGTATTAATATTCTTCTGTTTGTGACATATATCGTTTTTGTAAACAAACGTCATATTGCTAATGTTATAATTACAAATATCACGAGAGTTTTAATGTTTTTGGACTCACCGGTGGAAAGAAATCCCTTCTCGTGCTTCATTGAACATCTGGCTTCTTTTCCGACACGTTATAATTGCGCAAGACGGCATAATTTAATATTAATTGTGGAGCTTTGTACACTGTCATAACAAGAGCACGATTGACGGCTGGTTTTTGACATTTTGGTTGGCAATGAGAATTCGCTCATAATCTCGGCGCGCGTATCCCGCCCACATGGCCCTTCTAACCTACTTTAAATGTTCTGTGGTATAGGGTTACTTACCTACTGTTTATTATTAGGATTATAGTGGAGAGTTTTCTCTGGAGCGTATTTAAATATTCATCATGACAAGACCATTTTCACCGCGAGCACGGCGCATAAAACAATTCACTTGTATTCTATTGCAATGGATAGTCCAAATTTAACAAGCTAACAGATTAATGTAAAATTAAAACACATTTTAAATATACATTTGTCTTCCCTATCTAAAAACAACAAACAATTGTTTAGGTCTGCTCTGATACCCACCTCAAAAGACCAATGTCTACTCGTCTTCTTGGTCTTTTACTGACAAATCTTTCTTGTTGTTACAGGTAGATGACCCTGGGCCTGGGCCAGACTTACAGCATCCAGTACAGCATGCAGGTCTTCCGCGGAAGCTGGAGGTCTTCCCTCTACCACGGAAGGCAGAACATGAGCTCAAGTTTAATGTATCGTGGATACCTTCCTTAGGTAAGTTTCTTTAGGCACTTAAGTTTAACACGCCACATATTTTTTGTATCTTAACTTTAAAAGAAGACTGATAAATAGATGCAAGTAGATTGGATTTCAATCTACTCAATCTCTCAAATCACTCAATTAAATCTACTATATTCTACTAATAAAACAATAAATCTACTATTAAGAAATAGTGACAATAGAGTTCAAAATTGCATACTGATTTCGAAATTAACATTTCATATTTAATGCAAAAGTTTAGGTTGAGCATAATTAGTGCTTTATCCAATATCAAGCTAGTAGGTACCTTTGTACATTACATACATTTGAATTAATCATACGCAAAGACCACGAATGTTAAAAGGGATTTTAGGGTTTAGTCTAGATATTGTCTGGGAATCCCTTTTATTATTTAGTGCCGATTTTAAACACGATAAGAAAGCAAATGTTGGACTATTATCAACACAACAAAAGACCGTTTTGAAATTGAAAATCCGTAATAAACGAGATCTGTTTAATATAAAAAAGAACAAGCATTACTTATGACGTAACTCTATTTACCACTTAAATCTAAAAATAACCAAAAACCAACTATATTAACACCACAACATGATCTATTTTAGAACTTAACTCCATAGAATAGAAAGAAACCCCAGTATTTTTAACAAGCTATTTGCGTCAATCAAATAAACGCGAGACGTGAATGAATGGAACGGTAGTCGGTAACACAAACAGACATACATAACGGAAACTCGGTATTATCGACTGATGAAAGAACATAACGATCTTTACCACCGTCAGTTCAAATGAACTGATTGTGATCCGTTAATGCATTGCGTTGACGTCGACAAAAGTGATGGCATTTGAAATTTGCACAGTTCTGTTTACGATTTCGGTAGAATTTTGGTCGTTATAATCTATCATCTAGTTGCTGTTGCATATTTGTTAACGTTAGATACTTTTATTTTATAGTGACAGAACTATAGTTAAGCGCGACGTACAATTATTGAGTAGCCTTAAGGTATTCGGGGATAACTCACACGTTTATAACATACTTATAGTCTAGTCATGAGGATAGCTAGGCCCGAGCGTACACCACGTCGCGTGCCGCGCGCCTCAAAGAGACATCAGACCACCACAGATGGGGCCCAACAGGGCTGAAGCCGATACGGAGCCGCGGAAGACTTAACGAGTTGCCGGGGCTCCGACTCGAAGTGCAGGAGTAGGAACGGGGTGGTTATTAGTCAGTAAGAGTCTGACACTCCCTCTCGCCTCACCCGGGCGGGAGAAGCCATTATTGGATGATTTTCCCCCTCAAAAAAAAGTCATAAGGATTGCTGTACATACAGACAGAGTGACGAACAAACTCATAGTCAAAATCATTTATTTCAATTAGACAAGGAAGGCACTTTTGAACGTCAAACAAAAAAAGAGTGTCAGTCTGTTGGTCAGTCCTCTAGTGAAGCTATTGGCTCATTTTAAGGTGTAGAGTCCTATGGAGAAGAACGAGCAATAAACTCAATAGTTAAGTTTCAGTGATAATCGTGTTAAGGCCTCGTTTAACCTTTTGGGTACGGAACGACTTTGAGATGAGAACTTTGAGATTTATTATTTGTCTTTTCGACCTACCATCCGTGAGTCACTGCAGATTGCCACCAGAAGACCAGCGTTGAGTGTTACTACGCTCAACATAATGCTGAGGTGGAGGCCCGTTCGGCATGGGCATACATCTATTTTTGCTAGTTTTGTGATGTTTATTTTTCGTTAAACATTTTTTTTTTAGAAAAACGTTGCCCCACATTAGGATTTTCTCCTGTGTCGTGGGTGCGTTTATAAACATACAAGTTCATATACACAATGACACCCAGACCCGAAACAACAATTTGTGGATCACACAAAGTGTTGTTCCGTGCGGGAATCGAACCCGCGACACGTTGCACGGTAGTCGGTAGCCGGTTGCCCAGCCACCGCACCAACCGTACAGTCTATTTCTATCTACGTCTCTGTGCATGCAATGTGTCGAATAAATGTTTATTTTTTTTTCTTTCTTTTTTAGATGCAAAAAAGAAACACGATTAATGAACTTGTACCTGAAATTCCTTCTCAGTGCACTGACGCGGCAAACAATGCATGCTGATTGGTGGATAAATGATAATAGACTATTATCGTAAATGTTATCAATGTCATTTTGTGATTATTATGTCTGATAAAATTGCTGCGTAATTTTGATCTGCTACCAGTATCAGACATTATGTTTGTATAATGTTACAGACTAATGTAATACCTTGTTGATCCGGTAGAGTAGTCATACTTCTGTAGGCTTCTGTAGGTTCTTCGGCACGAATGGGCCGGCTCGACCGGAGTGATACCACGGCCTCACAGAAAACCGACGTGAAACAACGCTGGCGTTTTGTTTTGCCGTGTGAATGAGGTTACCGGAAGCCAATTATCCCCCCCCCCCCTTCCCTAATCTCCCCAATCTTCGAATCTCCGACAATTCTTAAAATCCTAATCCCCAAAAGGCTAGTAACGCACTTATAACGCCTCTGGTGTTTCGGATGTCCATGGGGAGACCGTCAGGTGATCCGTCAGCTCGTTTACCGACTTATCACTTATAAAAAGCTTTTTATATAACATTACGCCTTTTATCCCCGAAGGGGTAGGCAGAGGTGCACATTACGGCACTTAATGCCACTTTTCACTATTTATGTTATGAGTCCCTTATAATAGGGGGTGAGCCTATTGCCATATACCGGGCACAATTCTAGACACCTTGTTACCAACGACATTAAAAAAAAACCTAGTACTTTGCCGGCCCGGGAATCGGACCCGAGATTGCCCGGCAGTCGCACTTGCGACCTCTCGGCCAACGAGGCAGTATAAAAAGTTCTCGATGGGTTGTTATTATTACACAAAAACTGCTTTCGATGCTTAACATACACGCTTATGCAACTGTTAAATAATTTTCGGCCTTACAAAAAACAGGTGTGTTATTGTGCCAGTTATCTAAATACGGGTTTAGCTTGAAGAGTGGGGGGCTTAGGCCCACACAATATTGTTGATACTGTTCATCCTTGATAATGAACGTTTTTTCCCATAGTAAAAACATTACCTTGGATAAGGTCGCATGTGACATTACCATGTAAAAATATAACATATTCTGTTGCCTTAAGGGATGAGCAAAAGTAGCCAGCACATTATCTTTACTTCTACCTCTATGTGTCAATTTTGTCATTGGGTTTTCAACATTATAGCTAAACGATAGAGTTGAAAATCTAATAAAGATATATGACAGAAAAGAGTATATTGCTCTGCTGCCCAGTGTGCCTATGCGTATCAAGTGTATATCATGTATGTAATAAAACATAACATAACATCACGCCTTTTATCCCCAAAGGGGCACATTATGCCACTGTACATTGTAATACCCACTTTTCAATATTTATGTAATGAGTCCCATGTAATAGGGGGTGAGCCTATTGCCATATACCGGGCACAATTCCAGACTCCGTGCTACTACTGAAAATTTTTTAAAAACCCGTAATACTATGCCCGACCCGGGAATCGAACCCGAGATCCCTTGCCCGGCAGTCGCACTTGCGACCACTCGGCCAACGAGGCAGTCATATCATGTATGTATAGCTAATTTTCTTCGGTTAGACATTATGAAGCCCGTTAAAGAAGGGCCCATCAACTTCATGCGAATGAAAATCAAAGGAAAACCATTAAACTCGATAATACTTTGGCTATGACTGGTAACCATTCCCTTCATTAAATTACAGACAATATTCGTTTGATTACATTGACAACAACACTCTCTATTATATTTTTTTATTTTTTATATTTGTTTATTTGAAAACTCAACAGCTTATTAATAGGTACAGTTACATGAGTTGGGAATACAGATCATACAATCAATACACAGCCTTATGCAGTTTCATGAAAGAATATATACTAGCTTGGAAAAGCGAGGTCGACACACGCTGCACAGTGATAACGTGATGATGATAATTATCACTTAAGCCAATTTCAGAGTTTCACAACATTTATAAGACTAGTTTAACCAGATAATAATGTAAGGGATGATTAAAAGGTAACACACAACACAATAATAAGATGCATTATCACATCAGCAGCTGTAGCCAAATGCCATTTAGAGCTTGTCTACATGTAGAATAGAAAACCAAATTATATGGAATTGACGTAAATTTTGACACTTGTCAGTGTCATCCTCATTTTGATTTCTACTCTCTCTGTAGAGAAGCGCTAAAGTGGCGTTTGGCTACAGGCCCAGTTCAGTTACAAAAATGTGTATTTCAATTTCGAGAAACACTTTGATCTCCTAAAAAAGCTAAAAACACAAATAAAAAAGAATTAAAAACCAGTCAAAAACATAGAAGAACCAGTAAAAATTAATACAAAACGAACTTCTTACATCATTAGGCCTTCACAGACCTCCATAAAACGTATTATAAACTCATAAACTGAATCTAACGTTATACTCAGATCTGTAGTCAAAACATATAAATTACATTGTGGTCTGCATTCTGGACAAACGACTTTAAATCACCATCTTGTTAGTCAATCACTTTTGTGTACGTCATTCATCAACCAATGGTATTCGTAAACTGTGCAAGTCGAGTAAAATCTATTCATCATCACCCCGTCTCCGTCTACTGCTGGACATAGACCTCTTCAATAGCACATCACTGAGCTCCATCTTCAGGTTTGCATTCAACCACTGCAACTTACCTTGCGAATATTGTCACTCCACCTCGCTAGAGTACGCCCTGCACTACGCTTGCCTACACACAGTTTCCACTCCAGAAAAATTTTAATCAAACGGTCGTCGGTTCTTCGAAAAATGTGACTGGCCCACTCCCACTTCCACTGGCAATCCTTTAATTAAGGCAAAGCAACTTCAGTTCTCCGTCGGACCACCTCGTTATGGATTTTCCGATAGCAAAATTGACAGTGATAGTTCCTTCTAGTAGCCCTTTTATGGTATCAGGATC